CCCCCCCCCCCCCCATTGATATCCTCCCCGGTGCTTGGTGTTAGTTTCCGGTTCAAAACAGAATCAGCTAAAGTCTCATTTTGATGAAGTTACACTCTTGAACATACAGCAACTTTTTGTCGCTGTGTCTGACGTCACTCGTTGTATGTCGTCACTGATCCCGCAGGTAGCAGCACGAAGGTGTGCGTTGTGGGAAGCGGTCCGGGAGGTTTCTACACGGCGCAGCACCTCATCAAGGTGCTTCCTGTTTTCATGATATTATTGCATTAGCCTTCCACCGGATTGTATACAATATATAATGTCTTTTACTTGAACTTTATCTCCTTTCAATTTTAGAAGTGTTATTTATACCTTCACATTTATTGTTTTAGATGTTAGCAGTAGAAATAAATCACTGTGGTTCTATTTTGGTTAACCATGGCAATGCAGGGCACTCTTTCTTCTTCGTTCTCTGCTTTTCACCTTGTATCCAGCCACAATTTTTTTTATTCTTCTCTTAAAGGCCATTTAAGTCAGAGGCCTTCTAAGTTTGACTTTAAAAGAAGTTGTGGTGTTTTAATATTCCATGCAAAAAGCTTTGTTTGCATGTTATCAGCATGTAGTCTCCACATTGTAGCCGTTGGCTCACCTTGCACAAACATCCAGTCAAAAGAGTCCCCACCTTCCTCCATGAGGCTCTTAACTGATTCAACTGTTTACTTCAGCTGGTGCCCTTTAAATTGGTGCGTGTGCTTATAAATGCACAGGTCTTGTATAAGTAGAACAGGAAACCCGTATCTCACACATCTTCGTGTAGACCGAGATGTACTTTTGACTCACCGGGCTGTGAAGTGCTGCACTTAGTTTTGTGGAGGTATTTATCTGAAGAGTTAGATGGTGTTATTTCAGTTTCCTAGTCATGTTTGTTGTAAATTCCTATGTGTGGCACTTTGATCTTTTTTTTTTAATCTACTTTCCTAATGCATAAAGAAAACGATGTAGAAAGAAACCAAAAAGAATCAGTAAAGAATAGAGTACATGAAATATCTTGTTCAAATTAAATATATGAAATGCAAAGTAAGGAGAGACATTTTTTTACTCCCACAGTAATTATCATTCACACGTCAGATTTTTAAAAAGTTTTAACTACTGTAATCCTCATAAGTCAGCTCATTGCAAATATTTTCAACAACTGTAATCAAAAGAATTGGTTTTAACTTCCTGTTGTGTCTCTCTTTCATTTCTGTCCTCCCAGGCACGTCCGGACGTTGAGGTGGACATTTATGAGCGGCTGCCTGTCCCCTTCGGTCTGGTCAGGTTCGGGGTGGCCCCTGATCACCCAGAAGTCAAGGTCCATTGACCCTAAATAGACATGTTAGATAGTTGTGCTGTCCTTTTTTGGCGTTGAGTATAAAAACCGGGCCCAGGGCAGGTGGAGGTGGCCAGCCGGCCTGCATGGTGGAGCTGCACAATGAATCAAATTCTAAACATCATCACAATTGTAGTTACCACAATTAAACAAGCGTGATCGTATTGGATTTTGCATATCAAATCGAGGAACCAGGTTTTGCCAACGGCATCAGAGCTTGTCCCCCCCCCCCCAACGCACAATTCTCTTTTCAATTCTATCGCGTGCCGGGCTTGAAAGGCACAACCGATTATTTACTATAAAAATCTATTAGCATTAAGACCCCAAACGGATCATTTTGAGCGGAGCTGTTTTAGTCAGGCTGAAAATAATTAAGTCAGGCCCTTAATAATGATCCTTGTGGTCTTTTGACCAAAGTATCTTTTATGCATTTCATTCAGACCACAAAGAACCATGTCAACTTGTGGTAAAAGTGCATAGTATGGCTCCTATTAACACCTGAAAAAGTGTGCACATTAGCTGGAATTTAGCACAACATGGAAGTGAAAGCAGTGCCCTGTTGATTTTGGGTGAAAAAAGTGTTTTACTATTTCATTTATATTTTCCCTTCTACGAGATGCACTGTGATAAGGAGATATAGCCAGAATGTAGCACAACAATGAAAGTGCAAGCAGTGTTCTTGCTCACTTGAACGTGCAATAAAAAGATTTTGTGCCTTAAATGAATGAATAATCGTGATGGAAATATTGATCCAAAATAATCGTGATTATGATTTTGTCTATAATTTTGCAGCCCTACTGCAGGGTTTGTTGTACGCTGTGATGAAAAGATAGCTACCCAAGAAATAACCACCCACATGATTTATTATATTTCCTCACCATTCTTGTCTGTTACAATGACTGGACAGAAGTCTTTGAGCACTGCAGAAAAACCTGTTCAGCTAATGATGTAACTGTGTTCTCGTTCAAATGCAGTTTTACCGGTACAATTATTAGGTCTGGCACGTCCTATGGAAAATACTTGCACTGTTAAACATGGGAACAGCATGCTATGATTTGCAAGTACGGAAAATGTCAGTTACGCCCGGAAAGTACCTTCATTAACTGTATCCCGCAGGAATGAAAGAAAGCAGCAAAACAATCTAGGTGAGGACAGAACGTAGTTTTCCCCAGTTAGGAGCCATATCTATTTAAAGATTCCTGTTCCCAAAATAACATGTAACACAACCAAAGTTGTTAATGAGGATACTACACCCACCACACACATCCTTGTGATCCCGGGAAAAATCATTCAGAACTGCCCTGAGAATCCCCACATCTCTGTTCACATCAGCGTTAAAAATCATACAGTGCTTGTTCTTCGTATGTTCAGAGGTAATCTAAATATAAAAACATACATGAACCGGAAGTCTTCTCTTGGCAGTCACTGTGGTTTAATCACTACTTTAGGAGCCACCTCACCATTCTGATGTTCTCCTTTCCTCAGAACGTCACCAACACGTTCACGCAAACAGCCAGACAGTCGCGTTGCAGTTTCTACGGCAACGTGGACGTGGGGACCGACGTGAGCATGGAGGAGCTGCGGCGAGCCTACCATGCCGTCGTGCTGGTGAGAACGTGAGAAAAACAAACCCTTGATTGAATGAAATCCAAGTTGCGATGTGTGTGAACCCTCCGTCTGCGGGACTCCTTTTCATGGCAGAGCTACGGGGCGGAGGGGAACCGGAGCATCGGGGTGCCTGGAGAAGACTTGGCCGGGTGCACGCTGCCAGGGCCTTTGTGGGTTGGTACAACGGGCTGCCCAGCTGTCGAAAGGTATGCAGATTGGAACCCCCCCCCCCTCGTT